TATAGGAAAAGTGATTCTGGTACAGGTTGAGGTACAGCGTACTTGGGTAGTGGCAAAGGGAGCGGTGAATCAACTGCGCAGCGATCTCAGGAGCGAAATCCTCTTCCTCTTTTTCTGTCTTCTTCTCCGTCCTCTCTATCGGGTTTAGTTGGTTCGAGGGAATAGACAAAAATGTTGACTTCATATAAGTGTTCTAGGTCGATCAGTTCTTTCAACTTTACAACACAAAATTTATTTTTCTCAGGAAAAAATTTTCTATATCTCTCACAGTAATGTTGTGCATCCCGCTCTAGATTCTTTTGATGACAACCATTGTGGAGTGCCAAAGCCCGAAAAAAGCACAAATTGTCGCTGTAGACTTTTCCATTATTGCGGTTGCGATCCAAGGCGACCAAGCCATGGTTCTCGGCCAGATAGGAAGGCAAGTAAGTACCTCTCCCTACAGGATGACCTCGTAGCTTGGTGGCGAAAAAGGTTACATTGGTCACCTGTTCTACGACCCACTTGGAGTTGGGGCGTCGCTGGCGTACCCATTCCAAGACGTCAAGGTTTAACAATGCTTCACGGACTTGCTGAAGGTCAGCTGCGGTAGTGATTTGAAAGGGCGCTTCAAAGACTTGCTCACTATTTTGGAGGCATAATAATATTGAAGTGCTCCAGTCTCGTTGTTGCGTAGAATGAAACCAAAAGACACATTCGGCTTAAACACCATGGACTGGTCAGTAAAAATGTTATTCAAATGAGTGATAAGTTCTTGAGGTTGGAGAGAGGACAGGCGGAAATTGTACCAGTCCAAAATACGATTTTTGCGGCTAAAACGAGGGCGTATTTGATGCCAGTGATTGCGGTATTCGTGAACGAGACTTTGTTGTGCTTCAGGGAACTAGAAATTGGAGTTGCCTGCTTTTTTTCGATAGGGGTTGACTTTGTTTTCTTGGTTTTTCGCTCTGAAGGAAAATAAAGGATGTGTAAACAGAATATCTCTAATGTGTTCAAAATACAATTTCGCTTTATTTCATTTGTCCTGAACTTACCACCACCAAAAATTACGGCAAACTCAACTCCGATTACAAAACAAAATGGTGACACTCACACGGAATATATGGAAAATCAGACATAATTGTTATTAGCAATTTTCTGAAGTTACCTCTGACATTTCTTGAAGTCGCAGGTTTTTTTTACTCGAGAAACAAAGGCTGCTTAATTACAACGAAAAGTGTTTACTCAATTCATTCATTCATTATTACTATTTTTTTAAAAAAACCTCTCATTTTACTCCCGGTCTAGGCCTTTGTAATATATTGGGAAAACGTCAAATCAGGCAGTTTTTGGGTGTCAAGATTCAGCTTTACATGCCAAAATCTCACCTCAGAGTAGACATAGTCTTCCAAAACAGCATTGGCAATAAAGGGGAGCGATCTCGATGATCTCGATGATTCCTGGTTAAAATGGCCCTAATTTTAAGCCTTTAGTAAGTACGGTTTTAAGGACAAAAGACGTGTTCAACAATGTTTTACCCTCTACTATATTCCGTAAGGTATTCTGTAAAAAGGTACTGTAAACAAAGGCCATTAAAGCACTTTTTCAACACATCCTACTATCTATTAAGCGTTGCGAAGGAAATTTACATAGCACTTACCATTTACACAAAATGTTATTTTGTTATTGCAAAAGAGTCTTCCTACCTGAGTGGTCTTGGCGCGGACGTTTGGCAGACGTAGAAGGTTTACTGTGTGCTGATTTTCCATGTGCTCGAAATGGAGCCAGATTTTGAAAAACTTCACCATAGGTATTACATATGTATTCCCGCTGAGCCGCTTGGCGTTCATGAACTTGTTTTACATGTCGTTTTAAGGCATTTATTCGATTAAAATTTCGCCCACAGAGGGAACATTCATGTCGCTTTCCAAGAATTGGATAGCGTGGTATTTTAGAAGGAGTAGAGTCTACTTCATCCTATAAAAATATAAGTTCTATTAACGACGGATTTACAAACCTGTTTAAAAGATGCAGTGCGGCAATTATGTGCGCGCTCTTGCTCTAAATTACGTCAAAAACACCTTTCAACCGCATGGTTTCCTCGTGCGCATAAGTTCTGTCATATAATACCTCTACTCGCAGAATTACATTGGTTACCAGTGCGCTCTAGGATACATTATAAGATACTCTTGATAACTTTTAAAATTTTGCATGGCCTATCACCTAAGTACCTTTCAGATTTAATAAGTATTCAACAGCCTTCGTCCTACCATTTGAGGCGCAACGACAATGGTCGTTTGTTGGAAAGACCAAGTGCGAAAACCAAGAAAACATTGGGAGACAGAGCTTTCCAGGTAGCTGCTCCTTTCCTACGGAATAAGCTGCCAAGGTCTGCACGCGAAGCGACGAACTTAGAATCTTTTAAGACTTTAATTAAGACATTTTTGTTTAAGGAATCATTTCAGTATTATCTTGATATAGCTATATCTTTGTTTGTAATTATCTTTTACTCATTTAATGTAAAAATGTTTATGATTTTGATAGAAAGATTTGTAAAATTTAGTTATTTTAAATTACTATTGTGATGCGCTTTTGAATAGTTTATAGAAAAGGCGCAATACAAATAATAAATGTTATTGTTATTATTTCTTTCATTTATACCATAAGCTGTTTCTTTTCTTCTTTTTTCTTTTTATAAAAAGTTAATCAGTAAAGTCCATCAAGTTTAAAATCTGACTTCATTTAGGCTATTCATCTTTATCGAATCTTTCTTAAGATAACTTTTGAAGTTCTTTGTGCTCAATATAATTGAAAACATACAAAAACCATTTAACTACTGCTAAATTTATGTATTTCACGTTTTGTCTTTCTAATTTCTTAATTTTTATGTTTTTATCCATTTTTTATCTTTTCACTATTTTAGTTCACGAGAGAGATTTAAACTTCTGAGAGCTCTTTGTGGGTAAATAAATTATGTTGAGCAACCCAAAGGTAACTAAATTATTGTAAAACGTACCTCTGTTAGTCGTTTCCTGCCCGCTCCACTCTGTATTTCGTTCAAGTGAGGCCGTCCAGTAACAATTGGTTAAGCTGGAAATAACACTCGACCAGAGAGAGAGAGAGAACGTTCATTCAAAATACAGAGAAGCAGAGAGCACATACCTGTAGTAGTTTTTCATACTCATTCTCCCAATCGTCCGATGGTTCAAAAATTTCCGAGGGAATGTCAGAATCGAAAGTGGTAAAGTGACTGAAATTCATGACTTCTTCTAACAATTCGTGAATGACGCGCTTGGTAAGGAAGGGCCATTTTATGTGTTTCGGAACAATAGAAAAAACTGGCAGGTAAAAAATAAACCATGATATCATTTACCTGGATAAATATGACATCATCATGACTAAGTAAGGACATGATATCACTATTCTATTTATAGATTATGATCTCAACATTTTTTGATGACGTCAACCCCTAGGGTATTCTGACGTCACTTGCTCCTTGCCTACTGAAAATAAACTATGACATCAACCTATCTTAATGAGATGTATGACGTCACCAGCAGTAATTTATGCCACTCAAAAAGTTAATTAAATCCACAAAAAACCGGCGTGACCGGTGCCTTATCCACTACTAACGAATCATTCATGAAATGTGAATCGTTCATGTTTTATAGGCGAGGCAGCCAGTACCAATATAGGATTAATACGACAATAATCATTAAATAAGTAACTTACAAGGAAATAGTTGCAAGACTGGCCGACGGAGAATGTCAAATGCGTATTATGAATAATTTGTAAGCGCTCAAAAAGCAACCCTCGCAGCACTCAATCTTGACGATCTTCTGAGAATTAATTCTTGACTACCGTTACAAGAAGTTTCACTTAAAAATAACCAAATGAACGAGTTTCACTGTAAATCATTCCGACATAACACGTTAGAATGATAGTATTCTTAAATATTTTTCTCAGGTTCCAAACCAACAGGAGGCCAAACAGGTGAGTTGCAGTTACTCATAAAGGCGGAAAGAGAACCATGCATGATTAAACTGCACTTGTTCTCACCTGCATCAGTGCCATACTTCTTTTCCTTCAGCAAAATCGATCAGAAACGCTTAAAAGGCAACAAATGCAATATAACAAAATACAGACGGTTCCAGGCCATTGGATACTATATCTTCTGTATCCTCTCTTTCTACTTGTAGCATTAGGATAGTACATCTGTATCTGTCGCTGTGCTATTGCTTACAACTAACAGCAAACATTTCGTTTAGGTTCCTCGTGTGGTAATCAAAAGGAAATTCTTCATGCTGTTTATATCACCATCATCTGTATTTTGTTAATAAGTAATCTTATTCTGATATTTGTCGTCTGCCGAATGCGCACTCGTTCAGGTAAGTGGGTTTTTATATTAAAAGCATTTGTCTTGTTTCTAATTCTTCATTGAATTCGCCACGGTGACTCAACATGCTGACAGGAGATGATACGGGATTAATTAGTATCAACCCCTTCATGACCCATTTAGCAGTTGGTATAAGCCCACTTTCTTTTGCAAGGCGTTAAGATTTTTTCAATTCTTAGAACATCGTTTCGCTTTAATACTGGATTTTAGAGGCTTTTTCCAATTTTCGTTAAAACTATGGCATATCAGATCCTGCTGCAAAGTGAGTGCAGCCATAATTTCGTATGTTTCGTTATCACTACGGCTATTACAAGAAAAAGACAAACTGGATGTAGTAGAAGTGAATGCGTTAGTAAAAATCACTGATAGGCTTGGTAAATGCTGCGAGGACTAAAGATATTTTGTAATGAGCTCCAGAGACATATCAATAACTAGTTGTCAAAGTGTTTACAAACTGAACAAGTCTGAACATATTTTATATTTTTGTTTCAGAAAAGTTACAGGAGACAAAGTAAGTAACTAATTCCTATTATCATTATAGTTTTCTCGGATTCATCGCCCCTGCGAAAAACTTGTTAAAGAAGAATTTAGCTATACCATAGTCACTGGCGCTACAGTTTGCAGCATGGGATGTAAGGTTGTACTTCATGATGTTTCCGGAAATGCTATGAATCCAAAATAAAAGTTGAGTCTTACATCTGTTACAAATGTTTTAACTTTACCATTCCCTTCGTCGCATGTACCACCAGTATCGGGGGGTCCAATCTCAGCAAAGATTGTTTATAATAAGGGTAATATCATAGGCAATTAGAGGTTATGTGAATTCAGGCAGATCGAGATACGCTTAAAGGGACAGTGTCCCCATTATGAGCACGCGCGAGCGTCATTTGTTTTTTGTTCAAAAGACAATAGAACTGTCATATTGATCCGACAAGATTTCTTTCCGGTCCGCACCGCCGACGGAGATTTGTTGTTTACATTCTGAAGTAATATTTTAGACTTTCAAAGAAGTCTTTCGTCCTATTTAAAATTTGGCTCGCGGCACGAAGGCCGCCTCGCGACCCGAAAATCTCGTTCCGCTCGCTTTAAAAACAGCTTTTCTAATGTGAAACTGGTGTCAGAGGTCAATTGTTCCAAGTCCAGTAATATTCATATGATTTGCTCGCGTTCTAGCCTCAAACGTTTGAAAGACATAAATAAAAGTGCAATCCCAACGCTATGAATCACCGCAAAGGTTAGTCAAAAATCATATTATGATTCCATGGCTCTAATTTTTCTAAACATGTAGCGCCTGTTTGTTTGATTTTCTCGGCCGTAGGAAGGTTCATTTAAAAGTTTACCGACGCGTCGTTGCAAAACATTCTACTTCACTAAGCTTAATTCCACAAAATCTCCTCAGTCACATCAATGTCTCAATGGTTTCTTTCTTACAGTCGTTATTGTTGCTGTTTCATTTCTGTGTATTCCTTTCACAGTTATCTGAGCTTGTATGGAAGCTATCAGAAGAAATAAGCCTTCAATCGGCATCAAAGCGCCTCCCATCTTTTGGTCCTCCGGCCAACGGCAATAAAAGTAACTTCAAAAAATTCCAATTTCGCCCAAATCGAACCTTAACAGGAATAATATATCATTGATCTGTAATCCTGGGAGGTTTTAGTGTGGTGTTGAACTCGGCCAAGCGCGATGCAAACGGATTTTTTAAGGTTCTCTCACTCTCCTAGCATCTTTTGATCTCGCGCTATCCTGTCCAAAAATCAAAGTTTTGTGCATGCTCAGTAACGGGATACTGTTCCTTTAATAGCGTCTCGCTGGCACAAATTTTAGACTAAACGTTTTTTAAATACTATTTACCTTCTTGTCAACAGAAGTTGTCCACGATGCGGAGATCTTCTAGCGATGGCAAGTTAATACGTTACTGCTAAGGGCATTTGTGCACAACGTATGGAATTTTGGGCGCGATGAAAGCTGTGAACGGGTGGCGGAGGGGTGGATGGAGGGAAGGGGAGGATAGAAAAACCCCCCGTCGTTTTGCCTTGTCAAGCTCTATATGTTAACCCGCGATGCGCCTACGCCTAACCTTAGGTCATGAAACAGGCCAGAGCAAAGCAAAGTATCGTTGCCTGGAGAATATATTTCTGAGGTTCTCTTCTCTTTTTTTCAGCGAATGACGGAAAGCTTGATTGGACGCTCCTTATAAAACTTGAACTCAGGACATTTCTTTACGATATTTGCCATTATGGTATTTAAAACAAAGAGCTGCACAGCGTACTAATTCATTTCATTCATTCAATCATTTATCAATCACTTTAGTTGTATGGGTTACTAGCCTATTTTAAATAGGCACTTTACAGTTGAGCGTTGTTGTTTTACCTCTGAATCTTGTCTCACAATGTTTGACAATAGAATCCCATTGCTGTTAAAGTAGAGGCTGATACACAATCCTTCGATGTGGAGCAAACGTTTGAAGCCCCGACCTATGCATCCACAGCAAGTGCAGATTACATGCCACTTCATCCCTCAACGAGAAGCTGGGAGATCAGTCGCAGACAGGTCAACATAGTTAAAGTCATTGGTAAAGGAGCTTTTTCACAAGTTGCCAAGGCGACAGTAAACGACATGCGTGGGAGCCAGGATAACTTGACAGTAGCAGTAAAAATGCTTAAAGGTGTGGTGTAATTCAGTGTACTATAACTAATAAATAGAGATTTGGGTAAGGTTGAGTCCAAAGGTATGTCAATACACTATACTTAAAGTGTATATGACAGAAATTTTTTTATTTCCTCGATAGAATCTATACAGTGTTTTGATAAGGAAAGCAAAAACATTTTTTCGATAGCGATTTTTCTTCCCCGTGCTTTAACCTGCCAAAAACGTGAAATTTTACTTCCGGTGAGCTACAAAACCGCGCTAGCGAAAACAGAAGACTGGGAATGATTATGACGTCATTTCAGGACACTCTATTTCGCGGCAGGCAAATTACCTGGTCATTTTCTTATTTGCGTGGCAGTGTTTGGAGAATGATTTTTGAGTTTCCCTGACCTTTTTTGATCAGAAACAGCAGAAACCAATAAAAAGTCGCTTAAGCTCCAATTTAATTGACTGTGAAAAAGAATAATGAGTTTTAAAAGCGATACGGAACAGTCAGACCTGGAATCGATCGGGTCGCGCACTCACATCTGTGAGTTAGAGCTAGGATCAGACGAAGATGAAGAAGATATGTACTATTCAGATCCAAAAGGACCGTATATAGATGAACCTATTGCAGACGAGGAATGGCTAACAGATAACAGCCGAGAACTAGAAGATATTGAAAGGAGAAACCAGGAGTTACAAAACCGCTTTGGTGGGATTGTCGAACCCGAGACTTGGTAAGTGTTCGCTCTATTTCTCACCTTTTAATTATTAGCCTGAAATCTTATCGTACTAAATAAGATCATCACTTGTCGATAAAAAGAAAAGGATAAAAGTTGTATTCTTCAACTTAAATACTACGTTCCTTCTTTTTAATTTCAAAGGTGCTCATGTGGCAATTGTGCTCTTGATCGGCTCCAAAATTTCGTGGAATGCCTCTGCTGCAAGGAAGTCGAAAAGTGCGTCGAATCACTTGGTAGTACCGCCGTTCTGAATGAGGTGGAAATCGGTCCCGAATGTATTACATTGCATCCAGGTTTCAGTGTCGTTTGCCTTTAGTTAAAAGATGGTCTCTCCGATGAGCCGCAAGTAAATACAAAAGGATAGACGGTACAAAGTATCGTCAGACTGATAGAGCAGAAAAGTGAGTAATGTTTTGCCCAGTTTTTTCTGTCAGAGCTATCTCTAATTGCTAATTTACTGTGTTCTCCAAAAGCAACGTTAGCCGGCAAAAGCGCCCGACAGTTGCAACAGAAGCAGTGTTTATTTGTTCAAACACCATTTTAAGAGAAAGATAATCAATTGATTGTTTTTATTGCCCTTTATTTTGTATAATAGAGAGATTTTACCTGACCCATGAAACCGACAATAAACAGCTACAATTTAGAAGACAATAGAAATAATGCATGATAGCGTGTTCCATTCTACTACCTGTTTAATCGGTTGAGTAGAATCACTATATTACAAAAAACATATGATAAAGAATAGAGCAAAATGTACTTTGCAGAACCCCTAAAATCAAACTTTTCTCTGGGCTTGGATGTGTGTGTGTGTATGTGGGAGGGGGGAAGGGGGGGTTGCCAGCCACACCAAACCGGACACAAAGCATTTTGATCTCATCTTTTGCTGACTACTTTCATCTTTTCTTACTCTGCTCTACTCTTCAACCCTGGTCCTATTTTCAACTATAGTCGACAGTTGATTTGATAATGTTCAGATCATAAGATGTTAAAAGAAATGGGAATTTTAGAGACACAAAAGAAGGGCACGATTGGAATAGAAATGCATCTGCCACTGGTCATGTGGTAATACTGGGCTCACAGAGTTGAAATACAGGGCGAGGTCATGACTTGAATATTTATTTTTATGTCTTCATTCTTTTACACAGGTTTCTTCGTAGAGTAGCCTACAGAGAGTTTACGCAAGGGAAAGCGGATTCCACTGCCAGCATGTGCCTACCATGCAATAAGAACAGAACTTTCAGAAGAGAATGAAGAATTTGTTGGTTGTGAAGATAATGAATAAAGATATTTCCTTTATGACCATCATTATTTTAAAATGCAAATAGCGAAACAGAGTCCATTGACAAATTTTATACTAGTTTGGACTATATTGACTCAAAACATCAGCCGATTGCACAGAAACTATCTGTATCTTAATTGTCTACAGTGCGAGGGTGACTTGAAATAATGGTAATGAAAATCTCTCCCAGTTTGTATTAAGCAATTACCAGGCAACTTATTGACTTTGCCTCAAAATAAAAAATAAAAAGGTCTGCTATCACTGTCCACTGTTTTGTCGTGCCTGGTTCCTTGGACAATCAACTAGAAGGTTGTGCCCTCTCATGGTGCAATTCCTTGTTCTTCCTCCACTTGATGACTGTGCTGTAGCTGCAGCTGCCTCTTGGGCAAGAACAACAGATACTGCAAGCAAAATAGGAAAAATATATTTAGTTCACCTCCATTGCTGATAAAATGATAATAATATGTAACAATAAAAATAATAATAATAATGGGAACTTTATTTGTTTTTTTGAACGTACAATTGTAAATCTTGCTACGTATAGGCAATTTACAAATGCTGCTTGAGATTGGATTATTAAAAAGAAAAAAACAAAAAAAAATAAAAAACAAACAATAGCCAAAAAAAAAGAAATCAAAATTGCATTAAGTATGGGCTATCCCAGTTCCTATTTCTACAACAAAAGATGTAATATGTTGCTTTAATGGCTATATTTATCATTTTCTTGATTATAACAGTAATATTGATAACAATAAAAATCCCTAGATGTCCAAAAAAAGAGATTTTCCCAAAGAAAAAAGTGACTTGAGAGAGGCAGAAGGCTCAGCTAGCCTCAGATAGGGCTGTGTTCTAACAGCACATGGTGACCCCTAGCACATAACTTCTGCTCTACGGCGACAAGAAAATCTTAGAGATTATAATATTATGCTAGGCATCCTTGATTTCACAGGTTCAGTGCACTGGGCTCCCTTCAATTTGTCTTAGAACACAGCCAAGATTATGGATTTTGCAGCCGATCAAGAGCACAATTGCCACATGGGCACCTTTGAAATTAAAAAGAAGGAACGTAGTATTTAAGTTGAAGAATACAACTTTTATCCTTTCCTTTTATCAGCAAGGTATGATTTTAGTACGATAATATTTTTTAGGCTAATAATTAAAAGGTGAGTAATAGAGCGAACACTTACCAAGTCTCGGGTTCGACAATCCTGTCAAAAGCGGTTTTGTAACTCCTGGTTTCTCTTTTCAATTTCTTCTAGTTCTCGGTTGTATTCTGTTAGCCATTCCTCGTCTGCAATAGGTTCATCTATGTACGGTCCTTTTGGATCTGAATAGTACATATCTTCTTCATCTTCGTCTGATCCTAGCTCTGTCTCGCAGATGTGAGTGCCCGACCCGATCGATTCCACGTCTGACTGTTCCGTATCGCTTTCAAAACTCATTATTCTTTTTCACAGTCAATTAAATTCAAGCTTAAGCGACTTTTTATTGATTTCTGCTGTTTCTGATCAAAAAAGGTCAGGGAAACTCAAAAAACATTCTCCAAACGCTGCCACACAAATAAGAAAACGACCGCGAAATAGAATGTCCTGAAATGACGTCATAATCATTCCCAGTCTTCTGTTTTCGCTAGCGCGGTTTTGTAGCTCACCGGAAGTAAAATTTCACGTTTTTGGCAGGTTAAAACACGGGGAAGAAAAATCGCTATTGCAAAAATGTTTTTGCTTTCCTTATAAAAACACTGTATAGATTCTATCAAGCAAATAAAAAAATTTCTGTCATATACACTTTAAAATTAATCTGGTTCAGTTGGATGGTATCGATGCAAACGAAACAAAAAAGACCAAGTGGACAGATCTAAAGAACACTGAAAAAAGCTCACTGCAGCAAAACGATTACCGTAATAAAGTAATGGTAAAACATTGAGAATTTTTTTGGGTTCTTCTTTTTAGCAAATGCTCCAGCTTCAGATAAAAAGGACCTTCTGTCGGAACTTGAAGTAATGAAAAAACTAAAACCTCATCCCCACGTGATCAAGCTGTTAGGCTGCGTCACAGAAACTGGTAAGCGATGTGTGAAAAGAGTAACGTTTCAGTTTTTTGAAATTTGTGGCATATAAGTTTTCCTGGTGATTGTATACTGCCAATGATTCGAATGATAGAGCGTTTTAACCAACATGGCCAGAAGTTATAGGAACATGTTAATTAGAATAAAAGCAAACGTTTACATAACAGAAGAATTCAATTATTCCCACGGAACAAGTTTGGTACACCAACGTGGCCGCCGTTCCATTGTTTTGGAACACAGTATGTTCTCCATGATGTATGCCATATGGAACAATTTAATAGGCAGAAAATATTAGAATGGATATATCACTGAGATGAACAAAGTCAAACAAAGAGAACTAATTCCATAAGCTGAAGTAGATAACTTTAATAGCTTACTTATAAACTAATAGAAATGTCAGTAAATTGATTTCCAAATGAACATATGACTTGCTACATTTTTTAAGCATGTTTGAAAGAAATATTGCAAGGTTTCAAAGAAAGTGAAATAATGTTGAGGTTAAACCCAGTTTAAATTTATATGGACACTGAGGGGACCATAAAAAGTGTACGTATTAACTAAGGGCTTTCTTTCCCCAGAGACAAAGCAAACTGTCCGTAATAATAAAGTTTCCGCATTTAGGGGATGTCTGTAAAGCGGGGTTTCACTGCAATTCAGGGCTTATTATTTTCGGCCTTCGCTTCTGTTCCATAAATTGCATCAAAACTGCTATGATCATACCTCCAGTTAGTTTTTGTATTGTTCAGTTCACATAATCTTCATTGAAAGGTACTAACTTCATTCTATGTCCCCTCGTGCGAACAAAATCATATTTGCTCGGAGAGTAAATCGGAGAATTTTCTAATGATATGTCATAAGTGGGAACTCCGGTTTGAAGATTTTCTCATATTGGTTATCATAGAGCCGTTGTTGGTTTTAATTGAGTATGTCCCGTATGGTGACCTACTGGGCTACTTGAGGAAGAGTCGAGGACTGAACGACACGTACTTTAAGGACCCGGATATGAAGCCACAGACCAATCTTACAGCAGAACAGTTAATGAAATTCGCTTGGCAGGTCGCAGATGGAATGTGTTACTTATCCTCAAAAAAGGTTTGCTTTAAATGTGATTTCAACTAGAAGTAATAATTTGAATTGAGAAGTGATCTTGGAACTGAAAGATATATTATTACATTTATCTACAAGATAAACCTTTATGGAACATGAGATTGTTCACTGAAGGCTTGATTAGAAGCTTAAGTGTTAGTCTTACAAACCTTGCCCAATTCTAAACAAAACGTATGCTCAAATGATGAATATCACGTAATGAATATATAAATTTCAAATAAATGTACTAAAAAATGTTACATAAACGATGTTGACCAGAGATACCTATCCTGTGGGTGTGAACTGGGTCCGAGCTCGTTGTGTGAGTTTGTGACCAGCAGCACATGTGGCCATTGGTATCAGTCTTTTCTGAACAAGCTGAGCAAGGTGCTCCACTTGCGGTCCTCGTCATACGCAATATATTTTGTGAGAGGTGTAATAGAAGCAGTCCTTGCCATACTCATAGAAGAGACTGCTCTATTAGGCGAGTATATAAGAAACACAGAGTTTCGAAGGCGAACAAGGAGGTGCAATCTCACGACATCTCGCATTAGGCACCATGGGGAACTTACACCAGGCGCAGCGCAATCAGGAGGATCTTTGTCTTGCTAATAACTTTCTCTAGCAATGACCTTTCTTCACGGTTGCTCAAAATAGAACAAAAAAGTTCCATCGCATAATTTTTCTTCAAATTAGTACAAAATGGTTTCCTCTATCGTCTCTAGCAACTACAAATTTTACATTCTGGGTGTGGTTTGTAAAAAAAAAAAGCTTCTTTCCGTATTGGATAGGATTCCTTTTTTCTATATCAAGCGATTGTCTTCAACGAACTGTCATGATAAAAAATTATCAAATTAACTGGCCTCTTTAGATGAGCCCGGTTGCCGGGACCAATTGGCCGTGGGTTCAAATGTGAAATTTAAACCCGGTTTCCAAAATCCTGGTTGGAAAACCACGCGCGAGATCTGGGGAACCGAGCCAGCCCACCCTCTCATATGAACACATTGAAGTTAGAGGTAAATAAGCGAGATCTTTGAAACCGGGCTCATGTGAGGAGGCCCTAAGCACAGCTTTGAAAAGAATAGTATTTTTATCTTAATCCGATTTTTAAAAAAGCGTTTATAAAAATGTTTTGTCATGTAGATTATCCATCGTGACTTGGCTGCAAGAAATGTTCTAGTTGGTGAAGAAGAGAAATGTAAGGTGACAGATTTTGGAATGGCAAGGGATGTGCATCAAGAAGACATCTACAACAAGACGAGTCGCGTGAGTTTAACTAAGCACACCGTTTAATTTTAAATCATGTCGGATTTTATCACAAAATTGCGTGAGATCTGTAGTCGGGGGTTCAAATTGCTACTTTGAAATCTCGAGTATCCTTAGCGGCGTTTCAAAAGTTGCTGAGAAGGTAAAAACAATCAAAACATCGGCATAAGGGCGGAAATTAGATTTTAAAAAAATTATTATTGATTCTAATTTGATTGTTTTCTAAGGGGCGTCTGCCAGTGAAATGGACTGCTTATGAATCGTTGATGTATGGAACATACACTACACAGAGTGATGTGTAAGTATTTTTTGTATTTACGGTTAACATTTTTTTCACGTTAAGCATGTAGAATGTTGGCGTTTCCAGTGAGTCACAAGGCTTTCGTCTGTCTCTTTTATGCTTAAAAAGAAAGGAATGTTACGTTCAATAATTAAAATTCAACGATAATTATCTCAACAAAATGAAAGAGATTTCTGTTGTGTTGCTTGTGCAAGTGGTACTCTACAAGTTCAAAGGTGACTGTAGCTTTTAGAAAGCCGGTGCACGCGCCTTCTCTTATTTTAGTTATTTCTGCTAACGCTGATTGGTTTGTTCTAGCTGGAGTTACGGCGTCGTACTTTACGAGATTCTTACTGTTGGTGAGTTGGGAAAATTGTTCATTCTGATATTTTGTTGAGTACTCTATTTTTTTCTTGTTTTTCATGGTTCGTAATAGATAGAACAGATACAAAATGAAACAAAAGCAAAACTCCATGTACCTTAATTTCAATAATCATATCGGAATGTTTGAGCAAGCAAACAAACAATGCTTGATCAGTTTTTATTATCTTTTTAAATAATATTATGTACTGTTCTTATAAGACACAAAACATTCTGAAACTCAGAGCAAAGGTTTACCAGTTCGAATTAACATTAATTTTGCTCAAATCGCATATACTTCCCTTATATGTTTTCGCTAGTACAGAAAAACATTTTTTTTCCGTTATGTACTCTTCTTCCTAGTATAGCTTCATTTCTTCCAGGTGGATCTCCATATCCGGATATAAATGCCCGTAAAATCGCCCAGAAACTTCAGGAAGGATACAGAATGCCAAAACCAAAACACGTTGAGATTAAACTGTGAGTTATAATACGAGTAGGGAAAAGAAAGTTCTAAGAAATGAAAAAAATTATGAGTATGGATTCAGTTCTAAACAACAGTAGCCATACTAAGACTATTAGGTTTCCGTAACTGTTCCTGCGTATTCAGATCCTCAGGAATAAGTGGGGCCCCCGCTCATCCACAGCCTAATATTAGACGGGGACCAGCCTCGTCAAAAATATTTATCGGCCCTCCGGGGGGTTAAATTCGCCCAAAAATAAGCGGGGTCTAGGCCCCTTCCCTAGTTCGGCTAGTGATGTAGTGATGAATAATATGTTTCTCTCGATTAGCTATCAGATTATGCTTGACTGTTGGAGGGAAAACCCAGTGGATCGTCCTACGTTTGAGAGACTGAGGAACATAATGAAGGAGATGGAGGGAAATCATAAGGTAAGAAGAGTAAGAGAAACAATCATGGATACGGAAGGTTCATTTAGGGAAGAAGCTAATGTCTATTCAAGGGCTGAAGCTGAGAGGAGTGTGTAGCACCCCCTCCCGCCCTCTTATCCCAGTATGAGAGACTGATTAAATATTAAATAGGTTACATATTTTTTCTTTCATTCCGCTTGGTTTCTTCAGAAGCAGTTTACTTTAAAACATTTATCCATTACACTACATGCCTTACTGACCAAGCTACTACAAACCGCCCGTCGACCTGGTTAGCTCATTTGGTTGAGTATCAGACTTTAGAGGGCATATAGGGTCCTAAAATAACTGATGAGAAGGTGTTTACATCGTTTACGTTATGTAATTAAATATTTTGATCCCGATCTCTCTCAAGTAGGATTACCACGGAAAAATGTAGACAGAATGTACTCAGTTTTTCTTTTCAGTTGATCTGAATCTGTAGAATTTTAAACCACTAGGTATGTAAAAAACGTTTGATATTATAGCGACCACTTCTGGTGTGCCGCCGTCCTTAGTCTTGGGTTGATAATCTGAAGGGAGAGATTCCAAGATGGGGATAGCTTGTCTGTCTTCCTTCAGTAATCATAAAAGTTGCCTGTAAGTAATGTTTGGGTATTAGGTGGAATGAATTGTTTTTGAGGTCGAATGTGACTGAATAAAAATCCCACCATCCCGTGCCTTTTACGTTTTTGCATTTCTTTCCTTCTTTTCATTTTTTCAGACATATGTCAACCTGAAACAATATGACCACAGCCTTTACGCTAATGTAAACGACTTGAAAGCTATGTGACTGTACAGCTGGTACTGGGCCGAAGCATCGTATCACAGACTGACGAATCAACCTAAATTTTGTCTATTATTACTATTATTATTGTTATTATTGGTAGTAGTAGTTGGGAATAATAATAAACGTAGTGTATTAGTATTATTATTATTATTATTTTAGCATTACTTATCACGTTGAAACAAAGGGAAGACCACGATGTGAAACAAAACGACCGAAACAAAATTTTAATAGCTTTCATTTTCTAAATATCGTATACCCTAAACAGTAAGGAAAATGCGATTCACGTGCATGGCTTTATTGGCTTGTGTTAAAGAACGCTTTGTTTTCATTGTGCTCTACTGTTTTATTTCGTCGGCTATTCTAAGAAAGTCCAGTATCCATTCATAAAGTGCCGTAATCAGAATAAAGTGATATCTGGTACGGTTGAAATAATAATAATAAAAAAAAACATTGCGGCAAAATTTCAGAAACGACATGACTTGTCTACTTAACCCTGAATGAAACCCTGAATTTATTAAAGGAAGAGTTCCGCGTAACTTTAATTTGAATAAATTTTTACATATCTTGCAAATGTAGTTGTATTACTGGATTCATGCTACCAGAGTTAGTGTTCAAAATTAAAACAAACTATTGAACGTTATTGATGTGCCAGCGGGTAACAGTGCCTTGAAAGCAGGTACTTGACATCTGCATGTGGCTCAAATGAGTGGAGTCCAATTCAGTCATTCAGTGATCTAAACAGAATTGTTTTCGTCCGATTTCTTTAATTACGAGTAACTGTATGATTACAGACCCAACTGGACTACACAAGGTTCTTTTACCAATTAATCATAACTATAACAGAAAGATGTGATTTTGAGATTCTATTTGATTTTGTGTATAAAGCACAGGATCCTTCAAGAATTTTGTTACCGTTATGATATCTTATATCATGTACAGTAATTTTATAGTCGGAACAATATCAGTAACTTGCCTATAAAAACTATACAACATTCATGTAATGCATTAACAACAAAACCAGCACATACAAAAAGGAATCATTTCGTTAATGCCGTTTTAATACAATAGTCAGTGGAAGGATACAAAAAATACACAAATTAAAAATGACTACAGAAAATCTGTTATTACAAATTACAACTACCCCATGTATTTCAGAATAGCCTAGGAGGCTTGATAATATACACGAAAAAATTACTCAATTCTGATTGGCTGAGAAAGGAGTGCAGTTCTTCTGTAACACGAGTGCAAATTACAAATGGTTTCTGATTGGCTGAAAACACAAAAGAAACCACCAAGAACCAATCAAATTAGAGCTGTTTTAACCATGGTTTTCAGCAAACAACGATCTGATTGTGTACGCAAAACAACAATAGAAAAGTTAGAAAAATGTATTCCAAAAACCCGAACACAGTAAAAAGTACTTTTTTCTGTCTAAATGTATTGAAAAAAAAAAAAGAAAACTACTGTCAACAAAGTCTAGGAAAATGAGCCAGAGAAACTAAACAAGCTACTTTTATAAAATAACTAAGATAGTACGCGCGCTCTCGACAGTTATGCAAACCCTCGACTTCGTCTCGGATTTGCATAACTGTCTCGAATTCTCCCAACCCCTGTCGTGTTTATATCAGGCTATGCAAACACGGAAAACGTTTTCTACTGCTTAAATAACAAACTACGGTAAAGTAAAAAATAAAGAACAAAAACGGTTGCAACTACACGCAAGCCAGAACAGCTACACTTTTCTGCCATTTAAATGAACAAGGATACATTCAAGTTTTCCATGATACCAACAGGGATTTCAAGTCATGTACGTCATTTTTTGGAGGAGACAGGTGTCCGGTTGCTCTCTTTAAGTCTTTTGTCGAGCGAAGACCCCTACAACGAGTTTGACTAATAGTCGCGGGTCGCGGGTCGCGGGTCCAATGTCGCGGTCGCGGGTCCAAAGTCGCGGTCGCGGGTCCAATGTCGCGGTCGCGGGTCCAAAGTCGCGGTCGCGGGTCCAATGTCGCGGTCGCGGGTCCAAAGTCGCGGTCGCGGGTCCAAAGTCGCGGTCGCGGGTCCAATGTCGCGGCAGGGGAAAATGATTTGGGGTTCGAGGTAACAGCTGAGTGAAAACGACTGATATGAACACAATATAAAGGGAAAAAATCTTTTTTATGCACAATACTCTACGGTGGCCAATTTACAGGTTACGGAGTTTAGAGTCAACAAAATAATGTCTCAAGAAAAGACCTAAAAGAAAAAGCTGGCCGACTTTTGTGTTCAGCGCAAGTTTATTTTTTTTTCTTTCTGTCGGGCCCAGTTATGTGTAAATTCAGCTTTGAATATACTTATGCATAACAGTATCTGATAAAAAAAGTTACCATAAGTTACCATTGCTTTCTTCTTGTCGATGAATTGCTCACAAATGCTTAAGGGTTCAGACTACAGATTATAAACGTTACAACAACTTAAAGCCTTTTTTTAAAAAAAGCGAACTCGGGCTCAAAAAGCTACGAGTCTGTCGGTAGAAGAAACGAGAACTCTTATATTTAACAAATGTTTTCGACAAAACTGAAAGAAAATGTAAATGGGCGCATGAAACTTCATTCAAGCGGTATTTAAGGCATGAATTTAATATGGAAACAAGTAATAATCCACAGAAAGGAGTCTGTTCCTCGAAGCAAGATTTTCGCTTAATGCTTTTATTTTTACAACTTAGACGGCAACCCAGAGTGTTCAATATAACTTCTTGTTCTCTTCACCTAAATGGCAACCAGGACAACCTGACAATAGGAAGCCATTCAATGTGCGTCTCAGTCAAATCTCGAAAACATGCATCGTAAATAACTAAGTGAGTAAGTAGGTAAGGAAATAATAACGCCCGATATCATGAAGCTGAAAAAGAAAGTAAACCGGACACTGAAAACGGTAAGTTATCAACTCCACCAGAGCTAAGAAAAGACAATAAATTAGGTAAGTAATTCCAGATTCCAGGTACTGGATTCAAGTCTTTGTCAGTAGAACCAAGAGACTATGATCTATTCTCTCTTGGTAGAACTTGAATTCCGGATTGCAATCGTTATTGGGAACAAACTCCTTTCTGTGGACAAGAGAGGATAAAACTCGAGCTTTATCCCCTCTTGCTGTGGATTATTACTTGTTTTTTATTAAAGTCATGCCTTGAATACCCGCTTGAATGTACTTTACTGGCACTTCAAGCCCAACGTCTCTCCTCCTCTTTCCAGTTACTTGTGCAAAGAGTTTATTTTGGGAGTTTGCGACTCTTACGCGGGTAATCTTTTAGAAGACGGGTAGCTTGCAAACTAAACTGAACGCAGGGTTGTGGGAACAGCAACAAGAAGATTTATTCCAAAGATGAACGTAGTTTCCACTGAGTAAAACTCCACAACAGCACGTACCTCGTTAAACTTACACGGCCTCCGCCAACTTGAATAAACACTGCCTTCGTCACACTTGACTAAACACGACCAACGACAAACTCTCTTCGCTTGTGAAAACTAGTTAAAACTTAACTCGGGCTCGCCTACCTTACATACGTTTACAATAAGATTCTAGAACTTTCCAAATAGTCTAATTATAGAAAGATTACAAAATATACCGCTTTTAGAAACGCTTACACAAGATCCTAAAATAAACAAATTATGAACTCTCTCGAAGCTTCTAGAAAGTCACACTAGTCACGCAATACAATTTTTCGTAACAGCGACCGGGAAGTTTTTCAACAAGCGTTTTCTTTATTTTTGCCGAAAACATTTGTTAAAATTGAAACAGTTCTCGTTTCTTCTACCGACAGACTCGTAGCTTTTTGAGCCCGAGATAGCCTTTTTTAAAAAAGGTTTTAAGTTGTTTTAACGTTTATAATTTATAGTCTATGAAGTGTATCGCACATTTTTCAGTGAATGCACCCTTAAGAATTTGTAAGCAATTCATAGACAAGAAGAAAACAATGGTTACTCATGGTAACATTTTTTATCAGATACTGTTATACATAAGTATATTCAAAGCTGAATTTACACTTAACTAGGCGGGACAGAAAGAAAACAAAATAAACTTGCGGTGAACACAAAAGTCGGCCAGCTTTTTCTTTTAGGTCTTTTCTTGAGACATTATTTTGTTGACTCTAACATCCGTAACCTGTAAATTGGCTATCGTAGAGTATCGTGCATAAAAAAGGTTTTTTCCCTTCATATTGTTTTCATATCAGTCGTTTTCAAATCATTTTCCCCTGCCGCGACATTGGACCCGCGACCGCGACTTTGGACCCGCGACCGCGACATTGGACCCGCGACCGCGACATTGGACCCGCGACCGCGACTTTGGACCCGCGACCGCGACATTGGACCCGCGACCGCGACATTGGACCCGCGACCCGCGACCCGCGACTATTAGTCAAACTCTACTAAAACATCCATGCGATGGTTTTTTTTTACCTCAGTAGCAAACGAAACCGAAAATTTAAACATTTGGTTCAAACTAAACCAATGGGTGAAAATATCATAACTAGCATAATGAAAGTATCTGCAGCTGATACTAGCCTAAAGAAAGTGCAAAAAAAGTTTAGGAATCGTCGTGCAAGAAAAACAACAGTGAGCAAGCTGAAGAAAGCAATGATTGTGAGTTCAGGCCACAGAGGTACAAATTTCCTCACAGACTACGATGAAGCCGACGAAGAAGAGCGACGATGAATCTCTTGTGCAATAGGCCAAATGAAATAATGAAAACCCAGCGCGGAGAAAAAGCAAATATTATATTAATACTGGCAGTTTCCGACTTCACAACAACTGTGGCTCCACTCACCCATCGATGACAGCGTCGAAAGAAAACAAATTGCCTCCTTCACTTTCGGGTTTAAAATCTCAAAAATTTCTCCATGAATCCAGCTATGATGGGGTCTCAGGAACAGACAATATGATGAACATTGAACAGTCGTTAAAACAACTCAGCAAGTGTCTTTTATCTTTCGCTGATCGAAGCGTTCTCCTGATTTCAAAACGGCAGTATACTTTACTTCTTGTAAAGGCTTATTGTAAACGCCAAGCTCTCATTATCAAACACTTACTTTTGCAGATTAAATTATTGTAAACCGAGTTATCTTTAACAGGCTGGTAACCATGTAAAATCAATCCTTGCATATTTCCAAGTTCTTAGCTGAATGATTTTGAAAGCGTTGGTCTTGAAAAAGTTTGAATTTGACAAAGGTAATTGTCTGTTTCAGCCAATCAGCTGAATGAACTAAAACCCTCGCGCTGTCAAAATTTGTTGTTGTAGTTATGTTTTTCGTGTATAATGTTAATAAGTAATCACATGGTTTTTCTCGTGCAATCATAGAACCAATTCACTTTAACATGTACGAAAGTTATTACTTTAACATAATTTGCATAGAGGCAGGACCACTCAGCAAAAAACTAGTAGTGTAGTCACGAGAGCTAACTTGCATGCATTCGATTCGTGCATGCATTAAAGCTTAAATCAAAGAAAGCAAGGAAATTGTCCAGTGTGATTAAAATGACAAAAAAGAAAGCCGTAAGTACTCACTTAAACGTATTTTTTCTTCCTTTAAGCACTGAGCTTTTATCAGCTTCGTTTACGGTAAAAAATATCGATAAACAGAGACTGACTTAACTTGCGAACTCAAGGCGATGTAGAAAGCAGTTTTCTTTTACTCTGACCTCAATTATTCTTTGAAATACACACGAAGTGATCTCAACAAAATCAGAGAGGAAACCATTAAAATATACGATTTGATTGACAGATCAAATCACGCGTAAGTTTAAAAATAGATCTTTGCAGAATCTTTAAACATGGCAATTCACAAGTTTGTCATTTCGCAAACAACAGCGTAATGGCTTAAATGGAACTGCTAAAAGTTTGAACTGTTTCCTTACCTGAGAAGAAAAGTAGAGCTTTGTTGTTTTCTGATGACTTGCCAAGTTTATAGCCAAAAGGGTTTGCTGTATCGTTCTTCGCATGAAGTACTTGTAAAGCGCAAAATTCATGATTTTTATGTATTCTGTATAGACGAGTGCAAAGCTATTATTCTCGCTTCGGGTACAATAAATTGTTGTTGTTGTTGTTGTTGTTGTTGTTGTTGTATTCTGATGTCACGATATATCTATCTATCTATCTATCTATCTATATATATATATAGATAGATAGATAGATAGATAGATAGATAGATAGATAGATAGATAGATAGATAGATAGATAGATAGATAGATAGATAGATAGATAGAATGTGATCCAAATATAGGTGGATTGAAAGGAAACTGTTTTCTGTCTTCATTTGTGATTAAGATATATATATATATATATATATCTTTCTGGATTTCATAAAAGGTGCCTGTACTGAGTCCCTAGACGGTCAAGTCCAAATAGCCATTACTCACCCTCCCCACCCATGAAGCTTATGACCAGTGAATCACTTCCCCCAAGCTCTGCTAGTAGTGTTATGATTATGAGTCACCGCATTGATTTGGCTGGCCTAGGCCACAGGAAAAGTGTTTTGTTGACAGTTAAACCGATTATTGCAGCTGATAACCTTGGGAAAATAGATAAATTATACGGAACAATATTCTGTACAGTTTTCGGCTTGAACAAAAGTAGCAATGAAGGAGACAATAGAGGGCTTTGGTTGCTACATTGAAGCTAATGGTATGAAAAATGAGAAAATTGAAAGGTTACCTGCGTCCGAGCTTGACCACTTGTCGTCAAAATTTGTTTGAACGCACGGAGGAAAAACGGAGAAGAATAAGAGCCAGCGACAATTTCCAGTTTTCATCCCAGTTTAAGCTTACAGCGATACTTAGAAAAAATATCCATTTAAAATATCCAAGGACAATGAGATCGAAAAATCCAGAGAAGTCCTTGCAGCGAAGCGAAAGTCACTTGTTCTGACACGAGCACGGCAAAGGGAACAAACCGCAAGCTGCTCAGGCCATCGACGAAGACGAAGAGGATGTCCTTTTTTAATTTTGAATTCGGCGACCCCAATCCAATTGCGCTTCAGAGAACTGTGCGGTGGTTTTTATACAACTCTTCGGTCTCCGAGCAAGAGAATATCAGTCAAGCGATCCGTTACCGTCTTCCACCGCTCCAGTTTTTACAGGTGCAAACATAGGATCCATCAGCAGGTGCACATTCCAAATATTTCATGGTAATGTGAAAATTGTCCAGACTGAAAGGAAGGGTCAAATTGTTATCGACAGCGATGAAGACGATTTACTTTGAAGCTATTTTGTCAACTATGTCCAGTTTCGATCTAATTTTCACAGCTTCAAACTTAGACTTTCACTTGACACTGTCTTGATCCATATTTTGTAATTAAGAAAGTATTGCTTGATCGACAAAAAAACCTTTCTCGAATTTTAGGATCAACAATTGTTTTTGTCAGATTCCGTTAAAAAGCGTTTTAATTTGAAGTTTTGTTTAAGCTAATTTAAGGCGATTTCACATCAATGAATTGTTTTGCGAACTCGTGGTAGCTTGCTTTTGTCTGAGCTCCTCGCGTCATCAAGAATACGTCACGGCGGAAGCCCTTTAAGTGCAAGCCACCGGAAGTGCTTTTTACTATCAGAAGCCGAGTGCCATATAAACAACTTACTAACCTAGCTTGCTCGAGCCGTAGTGGGGAATATTGGCCCTTGGTCGTGGTAGTACGGACCTCGCTGCGCTCGGTCCATACTGCCACGACCTCGGACCAATATTCCCCTGTACAGCCCTCGCGCTCGGTTAGTAAGCGGTTAATCTTGTGGCTAAAATCATGCAAAGTGCTTATTTATGTGTTATTTTTCATGTAAACACTCTAAATCCAAAAGGTCTGTTTCTGCCCAAAAGTGCTGATTCACTGAGCTTATTAGCCCCTGAAGCTGATTTGACCCTTGGTGGCGCCATTTTGTCAATCTGGTCTAAATCGACCCCAATAAAGACCATTGCAGCCCCATCGAAAACCGTTTTGGCCCACAGGAGAAATTGTTTGAGCCATGTGATGCGTATCGGCCCCTTTCACTAGAGCCATTTCTACTCAAAAAATAGAGACATTTCGGGTTTTAGTCTAGTTGGCCCCAATTTAGGGTTGACTTGGCTTATACTAATAGAGCTGTTTAGATCCCATGACAACGCAAAATGGCCCGACCACTAGAACCAACACCGATTTGAAGAATATATGTTCATCTAATCACCGTCTAGTCGGAAGCATTAGTTCCTAATCACTGAGTACGGGCCGCTTTATCTTTATCATGGAGAGCTTCGATAAAGGGTTTGTAGCTCGAAAGAGCAAGTTAAGACATGGCTAGAGGCAAACACGTTAACACAAGCAACGGTGGAAAGAGCCCGCAGGTAAGTCGTCTTGATCGAGTCACAAAGATTTCTTAAATGGCGCATATTGGACCGAAGATCGTTGTTCTGAATCTGTCCATTTTAATATAGATGATTTTCCAGACGGAGACTGGAGCCCATCATGGAGATGATCATGATATGGTTACAGTGTATGAGGACGACAAAGAATGCCGTTTCTATTTTCCCCATATTAAGGAAAAATTAAAATTTAAAAGGATAGTAAAGGCAGAGGCCGAGGAAAACCAGGTAAGAACATTTTATAGGTTATTGTAATTTTCCTTTCCCGCCAAGACATAATGATAGCGCGGGGTTTGGATACGAAAATATTCACGTCACTCCCATAAATCCTTGCACACTACCAAACGTCGCGCGCATGTTTGAAAGGTTTAGGCGGAAAGCACTAGATAACATCGACCTAAACCAGATGAGTCATCGATATGTAAGCGGCATCTTACAAAATGACTGAAATGATTCCGTCGACTTCCGCTCACTTGATCGATCGCAGCGAAGATGTTATATAAATATTTGAGTTAGTTTGAGTTATAAAACGGTCAATACTGTTGTTTCCAGTTTATATCACTAAAAAAATGTTAAATCTGTAATAGACTCAGCTGTATTGCATTGTTAACGACGCGGCTTATGGTCTTCCCAAGGAACGCTGGTTTCGGTCGATGTTATTTAGTGTCAACACGTCACGAAATCCTATCTAACATCGACCGAAAACTAACCGAAACTTGGCTGTGGCTACGAAAAAACCGGAATAAAATAAATCCCGCGAGAGTGCGAATCCCATCCCAGTTTTATTGCTGTCATTTGAGTCTTAAACAGTAGTTTTCCAGATTTTCGACTTTCACCTAAGAAAGTTTAAGAAGTTCATAATAAAAAAGTTCTACTTTCACAATCAGACGTGCCAACATTCAACCTGACAATGGCTAGTAGTTGGAGATTCACCAAGACAAAAGTTGGGGCCGGGAATTGGGTAGGCACGGATCCACACCGTTTTCCACCATTTTACCGAAATCGGTCGGATCTTTCATAATAAACATATTTTTAGCAATAAAAATGCTTTCCGAGTTGAAATCTGGAAAATGTTTGACTCGCCCTGCTTCATATCCACTACAATATGGAAACTGACCTTGATGAAATAATCCGGCGATTTGCAAGGCTTCATCTGAGGAGAATAGAATTGAACTGGCCAATATCCAGAACCCCCATGGAAAGCGGACTTTAGGGCCAGAGTTAAAATCCACCAAAATTCCCTGGAATCAGTTTTCAATTTTGGGTGCATTTTACGGCTTTAAGAAGGTTTGCTTTTTTCATTGCTCTCACCCACAAAGTTTCCAATAAAAAA